AACCAACGGTTGTCTGACGCCAACCGCCAAACATGATAGATTCTGTAGCTGACGCCAAACATGATAGATTCTTATGATATTAATCAATCCAATCCATGATTGCGATGCTTTCTGCATGCAATGTATTTTTGGTAAGGATACCAAAAATGGGAACAACTGAACAAAAAAGATTTTTATCCCTAATGGCATATCTTGGTTTTATGTACACATTTCCCACTGATAACAACTATAAATACTAACTTAACTTTTACGAAGATTTTATTGAGATCGGTGTTCCCTTGCACCGATCCACAACAGGCTCTTTTTCGATTTCCCACCCACTCGTAAATTTCAAATTAGAACTGTTCTAAATTGTTTACACGGCATTTTGCATTGAATAACTTTGTAAGAATTTGTTCACATGTTCACACGGACACGTTTTAAGACCCTTTGGGAGATTGGTTTGACCGGGAGCCCTCTATCACACTTGTACCGTCATGTTAAAAAGACGCTCATACATCGAATTTCAGAAAAAAAAGGGGGAACTGGAAAAGAGCCAGGTACAAATATGATAGATGGGTCCCAAGAAAAAGCAAGTATGAAAAATGGGATTTTGGATCTACGTAACAATCATCCCCCTTCAAGAAAGGGGGGAGATTGTTAAGTAGATTACTTGCAACGATTTTTCGACCAATCAGAATGCAGCAAAATTCGAATTTACATACAACTCTCTAGTGCGAATTTACTGTTTTTATTTACAGGGGTGGAGATTCTTTAGTAGATACAATAGGGGGGAGATTGTTAAGTAGATCATGCATTTTTTGTGAAAAAAAAATTTTCTTCAGGGACCCATCTTAATGTTTCGGACCATACTTGTTCAAAGAGCCAATTTAGGCGTTAAAACTCGCCGGTGGGGGAGAGCCAGTTACACCATAAAATTTATGCTTATGTGAGGTGTTGGGAGAGGAAATCTGAAGTCCCCATTTTCGCAATTCGGCCTGTAGTCCTGTCGGCGGCTCTTTTGGAACTTTTCCCCCACCTGTCAATTTTCATTTTGAAAAACCATTTCAATTTTGGGCTCTTTTCCAGTCCCCCCCCCCCTTTGAATTTCAATTTTGAAAAGTCTATTTAAGGTAGTCATAAAGCAATGAAATTTTGCGTGGTGAACAAGTCGACAATTCTGAACAGATTTGTTCTTGATACTTTAAATGGTAACATCACGCATTTAGCCGTAATAACACGTAAAACAAACATAATACTCGGTATATTGAAAGGGGGGGGGGGGGGGACTGGAAAACTGTCGATTTGTTCACCACGCCAAATTTCATTGCATTGTGACAACATTAAATAGACTTTTCAAAATTGAATTCGAAAGGGGGGAACTGGAAAAGAGCCGAATTACCAGTCAATTTTATCGTTCGGAATTCTTCCGGAGTAAATCATGTTGCTGGTTCCAACGGTTACTTACATTGATCGCGTTGAATGGCTGGCATTGCAAATTCAATGCAATAATACCATTGTAATTAGAACTGTTCATTCAAACACCATCTCAGTACACACCATGGTTCCATAGCTCAGTCGGTTAGAGCATCGTGCTAATAACGCGAGGGTCGAGAGTTCGAGCCTCTCTGGGACCAACTTTATATTTCAAATAGTAATTTTCTCTATTTCTTGCAGTGTGTAAAACATTTTGTGGATTGGAATTTTTTTTTGCGGTGAACAAATCGACAATTCTGAGCAGATTTGTTCTTCATACTTTACAGCGTAACATCACGCATTTAGCCGTAATAGGATGAAGTTAACGTGTTTAGGGGGGAGGATGTTAACTTGGTCCCCGTAATAACACGTAAAACAAACATAAAACTCGGTGTAGTGGGTGGGTTTACAAGGTTGATTATGAAGACTAAATATGTTTGTCATGGCCTAATTGCCTTATTGAAAATGAACATCCAGTGTTTGATATTTTGCTATGAAACTTTCAAAGAAATAGTTTGGCAATTTCAGAAAACTAGCAACATTAACTGCATGATCCCTGTTCAAACCAGTCGGACTATGAAATATACTCGGCAAAATTCTAGATTCACCCCTCATCAGAAGGTTGACGGTTCGAAGCGATGCATGTTCTGAACTCATTAATAGTCGCAAGGAAACACCAGACTTGGCCCAAAAAAACCTCAAAAATATATTTCGCGAGATTTTGGAAATGAATAGTTTATCCACAAATTAGTTTTTAAATTACAACATGCGAAGTGCATGCGGGACCTGTCTATCATAGTTGCTTTCGTTGGACCACTTTATCATAAAACTAAACCCCCTTTGATTTTTTCTGAAAATCATTTTATGAAAGCCTATTTATAATGACTTTATAAAACCTTAACTGCAAAAAAACGTGCCAGCATGAACAAACTTTCACAACAGTTTTCGCATGCAAACGCTACTGTATGAACAATTTTATACAATTTCTTTCGTATTTTTGGAGGGTAGTAGGATACTGGATTTGAAACTGAATTTGTTTACATACCTTAGATTGTAACTTAACCCGTTTAGCCATAATTAATTACACGTAGGTTTTTTTTTACTCTTTCCACACCCCCACCTCGCACGCGCATCCTTTTAGCGGTACTATGATACTTGAGAGAAGGGGGAAAAGTGCGATAGGGAGGTCATAGAAACTAAACGGGTTGTTTATGTAAATAGAGTGCCTCAAACTTGTTCAATTTTGTTCTTGGATGATTTCAGTTAAAATATCGAAGTTTGCGCGAATGAGACATGTTAATTACGTCTGTGAAACAGTTTTAAAACGACCAACTGAGCATTTTGATTTAGCTAGTTGTGGTATTTGCCTAAATTAGCGTGACCCCTCTCTCACATTCGGGACCCCTCTCTCACATTCTGTTTTTAAAAGGACCTAGTTTTTTTTTTGAAAATATGGCCTCCTCAAAAAAGTTGAATATCCGCCCTGTATCGTGTAGGTTCGTGATCCTACTAGTTTTTCGCAAATTTCAGATTTCAATTAAGATTTACCTTCCTTAAGGAATACATGCAGTATAGCGAAGTTTAAAGAGCACTACGTAGCTTGGTATTGACTAATCAATACGATAATTAGACAAGCAAACAAATGACTAATATCGAAAAATTTCGAATCTTGAAAGAATTAGTTCCTCCTCTCGCAAAATTTTTGAGATGGCAAAAATTTATTCTACCCAAGCCTCCCCCCTCCCCCAAATGGAAACTGAGGAAGCTAACTTAACGAAACTCTTAACGAAAACTGGGACAGCTGCCGAGTTCAACTGTGATTTAAGAGAAATAATTAAAGTGGACTTGACAAACATTGGGTTCAGCTCAGCTTGGCGAATGAGCTATCGAAAGAAACCAAATCAGACTAAAGAAAAGTAGTCCCAGAGAAAATTGGCAGTAGTAGGGATGTATCATGGGAAATAGGTCTCCTAAATAACATGAACAGACAGGATATTTACTTAGCTCCCCAGAGGTAATTTTTTTGGCAGAATTTGACCCCTTATAGGCGAATTATTTCCCCCTGATAGCTAAACGATCGGGATTGGAATACAGTATGGCTGTAAATTTAAGATGCTTGGAATGAATTAACGACCCATAAAAAAGTTCTTCCCCCAAAGGGAGGTCGGAACGTTAAATAAAAACCTTGGGAGCCTTGTTAATTAAACACAACTTGGTTTGGAGGTAAAATTGGACTTGATGTTTGCACAACTCAGTTAGAGATACCTAATATGAACTTGCAATTTCGGACTAGTGTCGTCAGAGGAAGAATTTAGCTAAGATGTTGCAAAAGGGGTACCGAACTAAAAGTCAGGACTTGTAGGGACGACCATAACTGTAACTTAAACTAAAACTCAATTAGATAAACATAGCGAAAATGTTACGGGTAGCCTATCCCTAGGCAAAACAATAGTGCTGGGAGAGCGCATGGTTGGTTCTCATTGTTAGTTGGAGAACAAAATTAGCTACTGGTGAGAGTAGTTTTAAGTTCTCGTAGCTAGTTAGAGAACAGTTCGACAGAGATTCTCCCAAGTGAGTGTGAATTCATCAGGTTAGTGATTTCTCAAGAGTGAGAGATAGTTGATTGAGCTATCGAAGATAGCAAAAGTGCAGTAAGTTAGTTAGTGTTAACGGGAAGTTTAATTGCAATCAGGCAATTGTGTTGATTGATCGCGTACCCTTTCCTTTTGAATAAATTATTAGACTATAATCCGGTCAATTAGAGCATTCCGTATTAGGAGTTATATAATGCAGTGAAGCCCAAATAAATTGCACTTAGTAACCGCGGTAACGCCGCTTGTTGCATAAGAAGAAAATTAGCCAAAGGTATACTCATAATAGGTATTTAAATTACAGTATAAGAGCTGGAGGCGCAACCGTGAACTTAGGTTTAAGCTTATCATTTAAGTTTAACTGAACAAGGCATGGCAAATCACAGTGCAGATAAGATTGCGAAGCAGCAATTATAAAATCGCTGGTCAAATACGGCCAAGTTAACAACCCCCCCCCCCCCCCCCCACACACAAAAAAACGGCCCGGGGTACTCTTGGTCCTCGTGTTATCTTGGTCCTATTTGACCAGCGATTATATAAATACTGCTTTGCAACCTTATCTGCACTGTGATTTGCCATGCGTTGTTCAGTTGAACTTAAATAATAAGCTTAACCCTATTGCGCCTCCAGCTCTTATACTGTAACTTATATACCTCTTATGAAAAGACCTTTGTTAATTTTCAGCCAATCAGAATCGAGCATTTTCATGACCAAACATTTCCGCCCAAAAGCAGTCATTTAATGAACTGACTGTTTTTTTTGGGGCGGAAAAGACTGGAGCGGAAAGACTGGGAGCCGAGCATTTTACATGCAACGCTTAGCAAATCTAATACAAATTAATTGCTGGGGTGGAAGATCTTAACTTGGTCTATTTGAGGGGTGATGTGACCTTGATAAGTCAAATATCACTACTGTTGTGCCATTGAAGGAGGAGGTGGACACTGTTCCACTTACCGCTTCCCTCATCCGCTAGAATATGTCCCCACCCGCCACAGTTATGTGACTCCCCATTGGGATTGATGAGCATAGTATTGTGTCCTGTGCCACTGATCACCACTATTCCATACTTGGCAGAAGTAGCCAGTGCTCCGAAGGTGTCTGTGGACATATTGATCTCCTCGCTGTCTGTGGGGTATCTCTCCATCATCAGACGAATCATCTCCTTCTGCATTTCCGCATTGTCACTTCCACTCAACGACAGACCCTGCAGTCAACATCAGCCAAATTGAAACATTAGCTCTTTCCGAAGTATAACTAGATATAACTTCTTCTGATTGATAGGCAAAGGTAGTGGTAACATAGCTACCCAAATTTCTACAAACTTTTTTGTCTTCAATGCCATTTTTAGTCAAGTCCAAGTGGGTTTGTAAGAGAGGAGGACCTGGGATTTTCTCGAGAGGGGATTTTTTGTCGATCTTTTTTGACCCATGTTTTGCACCGCAGGCAAACTTTTGAAAAATCAGGCAGAAAAACGCCCTAAAAATGGATGTCCTGGAACAGTACCCAAGGGGCAACCCTTTGTTTCGGCAGTGGCTCGAATCTCTGAGGCTATTATAGCCCCTCATTCCCAACAAAATAGACCATGTTTTGATGAGACAAAGTTTGAAACAGCGAAACTTTAGTTAATAAAAGCAACTCAATGACACTCGTGAGTAAAAATGGCTTCGGAGGCAATTTTTCTCAAATATCAATTAAGAAAGGAGTTTGGAAAAGCCAAGGCGGTCATGTTGCCAGTACCTTTGCCTCCAATGAGAAACAGTAGCGAATGAAGGAGGAAGTCAACCCTTCAAAAGTTCAATTTGTAACCAAATGTTCTGATTTTGGTACACCATTCGACACTGAATATTCATTGCACTGAAGAATGATAGTACTTCTCAGTAACTGAATGAACTCAACTCACCTCACTTTAAATAACAATAAAAAAAAAACGAAATACACGATAAAAACAAAAATTATGAAAAATTCCATCAAGAAAAAAATTGAGTGTTTCTTTAGGTGTTTTTCAAGTCACTTTGAATTACCTTGAAAAATATTCCAAGTCAAAAACTGAAGCAGCAGATTCGATTGTTTTATTTAACAAAGCATGCGAGCATAAGTTAATATGTATGAATGTTAATTGATGGAAAATCGATCCTTAGATTAATTACATTCCAAATAAACTATCACAATATTGTGGTCTTTTCTACAGAATCAGATCCGCAATCATCTGTTTAATGACTATAAAAATTTCAAAAAACCAATCATCCAGCATGGTAATTTAATATACGGTTGTTCAAACAAATCTAGTCTGCATCAAAGTAAAAAAAAACACGAACATCACGGAAAGATTTTTTAAACCCTTATTATTGAAAATGAACATCCAGTGTTTGATATTTTGCTATGAAACTTTCAAAGAAATAGTTTGGCAATTTCAGAAAACTAGCAACATTAACTGCATGATCCCTGTTCAAACCAGTCGGACTATGAAATATACTCGGCAAAATTCTAGATTCACCCCTCATCAGAAGGTTGACGGTTCGAAGCGATGCATGTTCTGAACTCATTAATAGTCGCAAGGAAACACCAGACTTGGCCCAAAAAAACCTCAAAAATATATTTCGCGAGATTTTGGAAATGAATAGTTTATCCACAAATTAGTTTTTAAATTACAACATGCGAAGTGCATGCGGGACCTGTCTATCATAGTTGCTTTCGTTGGACCACTTTATCATAGTACTAAACCCCCTTTGATTTTTTCTGAAAATCATTTTATGAAAGCCTATTTATAATGACTTTATAAAACCTTAACTGCAAAAAAACGTGCCAGCATGAACAAACTTTCACAACAGTTTTCGCATGCAAACGCTACTGTATGAACAATTTTATACAATTTCTTTCGTATTTTTGGAGGGTAGTAGGATACTGGATTTGAAACTGAATTTGTTTACATACCTTAGATTGTAACTTAACCCGTTTAGCCATAATTAATTACACGTAGGTTTTTTTTTACTCTTTCCACACCCCCACCTCGCACGCGCATCCTTTTAGCGGTACTATGATACTTGAGAGAAGGGGGAAAAGAGCGATAGGGAGGTCATAGAAACTAAACGGGTTGTTTATGTAAATAGAGTGCCTCAAACTTGTTCAATTTTGTTCTTGGATGATTTCAGTTAAAATATCGAAGTTTGCGCGAATGAGACATGTTAATTACGTCTGTGAAAAAGTTTTAAAACGACCAACTGAGCATTTTGATTTAGCTAGTTGTGGTATTTGCCTAAATTAGCGTGACCCCTCTCTCACATTCGGGACCCCTCTCTCACATTCTGTTTTTAAAAGGACCTAGTTTTTTTTTTGAAAATATGGCCTCCTCAAAAAAGTTGAATATCCGCCCTGTATCGTGTAGGTTCGTGATCCTACTAGTTTTTCGCAAATTTCAGATTTCAATTAAGATTTACCTTCCTTAAGGAATACATGCAGTATAGCGAAGTTTAAAGAGCACTACGTAGCTTGGTATTGACTAATCAATACGATAATTAGACAAGCAAACAAATGACTAATATCGAAAAATTTCGAATCTTGAAAGAATTAGTTCCTCCTCTCGCAAAATTTTTGAGATGGCAAAAATTTATTCTACCCAAGCCTCCCCCCTCCCCCAAATGGAAACTGAGGAAGCTAACTTAACAAAACTCTTAACGAAAACTGGGACAGCTGCCGAGTTCAACTGTGATTTAAGAGAAATAATTAAAGTGGACTTGACAAACATTGGGTTCAGCTCAGCTTGGCGAATGAGCTATCGAAAGAAACCAAATCAGACTAAAGAAAAGTAGTCCCAGAGAAAATTGGCAGTAGTAGGGATGTATCATGGGAAATAGGTCTCCTAAATAACATGAACAGACAGGATATTTACTTAGCTCCCCAGAGGTAATTTTTTTGGCAGAATTTGACACCTTATAGGCGAATTATTTCCCCCTGATAGCTAAACGATCGGGATTGGAATACAGTATGGCTGTAAATTTAAGATGCTTGGAATGAATTAACGACCCATAAAAAAGTTCTTCCCCCAAAGGGAGGTCGGAACGTTAAATAAAAACCTTGGGAGCCTTGTTAAATAAACACAACTTGGTTTGGAGGTAAAATTGGACTTGATGTTTGCACAACTCAGTTAGAGATACCTAATATGAACTTGCAATTTCGGACTAGTGTCGTCAGAGGAAGAATTTAGCTAAGATGTTGCAAAAGGGGTACCGAACTAAAAGTCAGGACTTGTAGGGACGACCATAACTGTAACTTAAACTAAAACTCAATTAGATAAACATAGCGAAAATGTTACGGGTAGCCTATCCCTAGGCAAAACAATAGTGCTGGGAGAGCGCATGGTTGGTTCTCATTGTTAGTTGGAGAACAAAATTAGCTACTGGTGAGAGTAGTTTTAAGTTCTCGTAGCTAGTTAGAGAACAGTTCGACAGAGATTCTCCCAAGTGAGTGTGAATTCATCAGGTTAGTGATTTCTCAAGAGTGAGAGATAGTTGATTGAGCTATCGAAGATAGCAAAAGTGCAGAAAGTTAGTTAGTGTTAACGGGAAGTTTAATTGCAATCAGGCAATTGTGTTGATTGATCGCGTACCCTTTCCTTTTGAATAAATTATTAGACTATAATCCGGTCAATTAGAGCATTCCGTATTAGGAGTTATATAATGCAGTGAAGCCCAAATAAATTGCACTTAGTAACCGCGGTAACGCCGCTTGTTGCATAAGAAGAAAATTAGCCAAAGGTATACTCATAATAGGTATTTAAATTACAGTATAAGAGCTGGAGGCGCAACCGTGAACTTAGGTTTAAGCTTATCAGTTAAGTTTAACTGAACAACGCATGGCAAATCACAGTGCAGATAAGATTGCGAAGCAGCAATTATAAAATCGCTGGTCAAATACGGCCAAGTTAACAACCCCCCCCCCCCCCCCACACACAAAAAAACGGCCCGGGGTACTCTTGGTCCTCGTGTTATCTTGGTCCTATTTGACCAGCGATTATATAATTACTGCTTTGCAACCTTATCTGCACTGTGATTTGCCATGCGTTGTTCAGTTGAACTTAAATAATAAGCTTAACCCTATTGCGCCTCCAGCTCTTATACTGTAACTTATATACCTCTTATGAAAAGACCTTTGTTAATTTTCAGCCAATCAGAATCGAGCATTTTCATGACCAAACATTTCCGCCCAAAAGCAGTCATTTAATGAACTGACTGTTTTTTTTGGGGCGGAAAAGACTGGAGCGGAAAGACTGGGAGCCGAGCATTTTACATGCAACGCTTAGCAAATCTAATACAAATTAATTGCTGGGGTGGAAGATCTTAACTTGGTCTATTTGAGGGGTGATGTGACCTTGATAAGTCAAATATCACTACTGTTGTGCCATTGAAGGAGGAGGTGGACACTGTTCCACTTACCGCTTCCCTCATCCGCTAGAATATGTCCCCACCCGCCACAGTTATGTGACTCCCCATTGGGATTGATGAGCATAGTATTGTGTCCTGTGCCACTGATCACCACTATTCCATACTTGGCAGAAGTAGCCAGTGCTCCGAAGGTGTCTGTGGACATGTTGATCTCCTCGCTGTCTGTGGGGTATCTCTCCATCATCAGACGAATCATCTCCTTCTGCATTTCCGCATTGTCACTTCCACTCAACGACAGACCCTGCAGTCAACATCAGCCAAATTGAAACATTAGCTCTTTCCGAAGTATAACTAGATATAACTTCTTCTGATTGATAGGCAAAGGTAGTGGTAACATAGCTACCCAAATTTCTACAAACTTTTTTGTCTTCAATGCCATTTTTAGTCAAGTCCAAGTGGGTTTGTAAGAGAAGAGGACCTGGGATTTTCTCGAGAGGGGATTTTTTGTCGATCTTTTTTGACCCATGTTTTGCACCGCAGGCAAACTTTTGAAAAATCAGGCAGAAAAACGCCCTAAAAATGGATGTCCTGGAACAGTACCCAAGGGGCAACGCTTTGTTTCGGCAGTGGCTCGAATCTCTGAGGCTATTATAGCCCCTCATTCCCAACAAAATAGACCATGTTTTGATGAGACAAAGTTTGAAACAGCGAAACTTTAGTTAATAAAAGCAACTCAATGACACTCGTGAGTAAAAATGGCTTCGGAGGCAATTTTTCTCAAATATCAATTAAGAAAGGAGTTTGGAAAAGCCAAGGCGGTCATGTTGCCAGTATCTTTGCCTTCAATCAGAAACAATAGCGAATTAAGGAGGATGTCACCCCTTCAAAAGTTCGATTTGTAACCAAATGTTCTGCTTTTGGTACACCATTCGACACTGAATATTTATTGCACTGAAGAATGATAAAACTTCTCAGTAACTGGATAAATTTAAATTACCTCACTTTAAATAACAATAAAAAATGAAATACACGATAAAAAAATTTTGAAAAGTGCCATCACAAAAAAATTGGTAGTATTTCTTTCGGTTTTCTCAAGTCAGTCGTTGGACGAACTCGAATCATCTCACTTTGAATTACCTTAAAACAAAAGTTACGAAATATACCGAGTCAAAAACTGAAGCAGCCGATTCGATTGTGTTAGTTAACAAAGCATGCGAGCAGGTTTCAGTTATAATAATATGTATGAATGTTCATTGATGGAAAATCGATCCTCAGATTAATTACATTCCAAATTAACTATCAAAATATTGTGGTCTTTTCTACAGAATCAGATAAGTGTTTCATCGCAATCATCTGCTTAATTACTATTTAATTTTTTTTAAAGCAATCATTCAGCATGGTGTTTTAATATACGTTTGTTCGATTGAAACTAGTCTGAATCAAATTTTAAAGAAGCAAACACGAAAGACAGAAAGAAAGAAAGAAAGAAAGAAAGAAAGAAAGAAAGATTTTATTTCTCATTGTTGATGGTAAATATGCATACAACGAGAATTTAAACATGAAGCACCAGAAACATTGAGGGGACAGTTAACGAACCCAATTGGGTTACAGAGCAGTGCCCGTAAGAAAAGGTTTTTTGAAAAACTACTGAGTCCGTTCGGTCCCTTATTATTGAAAAAAAAACATCCAATGTGATTGAATTTTATTTTATGAATTGTTCAACAGTTTGACAATTTCAGAAAACTAGCAACATAAACTGCATGATCCTTGTTCAAACCAGTCGGACTATGAAATATACTCGGCAAAAATTCTAGATTCACGATTCACAAAAAAATTCTAGATAGTTGCAAGGAAACACCAGACTTGGCCCAGAAAAATCATTAGAATATTTGTATTTCAACTAGAGAAAACTTAGGCAGCAATTAAATCGAGAAAATTACGCTGACATTTGATTTCTCAAAAAAAAACAAAAGATGAATAAAGGTTGTCTATTTTGTCGCTTTTTAAGTTTAAATACTCAATCATTATGTGCTTCAGACTTGAAAAAGACGTTGAAGAGTTAAAAAACTGTAATTTCGAAAAGATGTTGCACCTAAAAAACTACTCTCTTCAGAAGATCTCCAGTAAATGAAGTTTCTGTTAGTTATTTTAATTTTGATAGCAACTCCTTAACAACTTCCAGATTCATTCTTACTTGGCCCAGAGGTAACGCCTTTGCACCCTAAGGGCCTTGTTTTTTTCAGTATGAATTAAATTGGATATTTTCCTGTAAAAATTGATTTGTCGAACTTTCGTTTGTCTGCTCAAGTTTTGTCCTTTTAGTTCCCACCTCACCAATTTTTCTTTTGTTGCAAGTAATTTTCATTTTAGTAGCAACTGTTGTTCATTGTAGTTTCAGGGGCTTTTAAATTTTTTTCTTAAAATTTAAGGGGACTTAAAATTAAAGGGTTGGTCGGCCGAAAACGGATTCCATAAAATAATACTAAAAGGGGACCCTTTGGTTGGTGATGGGGTCGAATCCCCGAGGGGGGGGGCGTCCCCCCTAAATATACCCCTTTATGTTACAAAACTCCAATTTGAAAATGAATTATTATTACACTTGAGAGAGCAAGGGTCTATTATCGGGAAGTAGGTTTTTCATTTCCCGTAAACAAATTTTCTTACATATCTTACTTGCTTTTCTTTTTTTGTTGATCCAAAACAACTTCCAAATTCGTTCCCTCTTGGCCCAGAGTTAGCGTGTTCGCCTTAGCACTTTAAGGTCTGGGGTTCCAGTCCCTGCCGGATCTTGTTCTTTTTTCAGTAAGTTTGAAATTGATTTTTTTCCGGTAAAAATGGATTTGTCGGACTTTCGTTTGTCTGCTCAAGTTTAGTTGCCACATCAAGGATTTTTATTTTAGTGCAAGCAATTTTCATTATAGTTGCAAGTGTTGTTCATTGTAGTTTCAGGGGGACTTGAACTTTTTTCACAATATCTTTTTTCCCGCTCAACTGATGTCTGCGCATAGAGTGTCGGCTTTGTTTCTGCTTCGTAACTTTTTCGGTTGCTTATGTAATATTCAAATGTTTTGCATAGAATAAGCATGTTTACCTAGAATAAACTTCATTCCAACTTTTAGTAGATCTAGTTTTTTTTAATATTTTTATTTTTCACTTCGTATGTTTTGTATTTTTGTGTACAATCTTGTTTTGATTGCGTACAATTTTCAGGGTTCAAGCTATTTTCTCAGTAGGATGGCGATTGTGGGTAACTTGAATTTTGTCCTTGTCTACTTACGAGTGAGCGGAAGGCCTGATTTTCAGTGATGTTGGCTTTCTTCTTCACTTCCTGTACAAGGTTGTGAATCGTCTCCAGACATTTATCGATACCTATCACCTAAACACAGCACAAATACAAACAGAAGATATCATACTCGCCACTTGCGATTAGCGAGATAGATGTAATTTCAAAAAGTTGCAGATCATTTAAATAATTGAGAAAATCTAGTCAAAAATTTTTCGCATATGATGGATTTGGAGGTATGTTTCCAAAATTTTTGATAATAGACCGATTACAAGATGTCAATTAATTTGATTAGGTTTATCTTGCTCTACTGAGACCACTAGAATGACACTTTTAAAATGTAATATCTCGGTGACACAGGAAAGTTTTTGATAAAAAGCCAATAAATTAGCTCTTTCTGTAAGATTAAAATCAAATTAGCAATCTGGCGCAACGTGTCTAACCCTCACGCGTAACGTATAATAGTGCATAAGGCTTTTTTTTAAAGTACTTCAGTGGCTAAAAAATTTCAATGGATTAAGGACGGAGGCCATCCCACCACAAATTTCATCAGCAAAGCTTTTTAAATTTTATTGGGTAAGCAAACTTAAACTTCATGATAAATTTACAGTGCAATTAATGTTTAACACAGAGGCAAAAGGGAGCTTCGCAACACTTCCGATGCAAAGAACACATTTCGCTACAAAACAGTGAAAGAAAAAAGAATAAGTCAAAAAATTCTGAAAAATTATGTTAAAAAATTTACTTGCAAAAGTAACTTGATATAAGTTTTAAAATAACAGCTACAAAAACTTCATATTTGTATCAGATGAAAATCACAAACAGCCCTGAAAAATTGAAAATCATTTACCGAGCGGCAACAAAGGCGACAAACTTTGGGTCGAAACCTGTTGGGCCGAAAACAAAACTGTTGCCAAAAAAAACTTCATTCAACGTAAAAGTTTTTACGACCCATCCAAACTGAAACATATAATCCCAAATGGATATATTTTACCCTCAAAATTACGCAAAATAAGTTGACTAAGTCGATATGACATAAACTGAAACTGTTTGAATATTAAAAAAGAACGAAAAAAAAAAATGAAAAAATGAAACTTAAAATCAGACAAGGTAAATTTAAAAATTTGTGAAGTTTCAGTTGTAGTAAAAACTGTTTAAAATTGAACACAACCCATGCTTTAAAAATGTATAAATAAAAACTCTACCAGATAAAAAATAGGCGTAGAAAACGGAAACTGAACTGATAGAAATTAGGACGAAAATCATGAACCCAAAAAAATTGCGAAATTTTTTTAGAGAAGATAATTACGACCTGAAACGGACTTGAACTAATTACTAGCTAGCTGATAGTACTTTATACGAAATTTCAAGAGTCTCAAGAAGTGAAGATCTTCTAGAACTTGTCCACAGGATCTTCACTTCTAGAAGTGAAGATCCGGTGGACAAAGTTGTTTACGGGAAAAAAGACTAGTACCCGATTGCAATACCCTTGCTTATCGCAAGGGTAATTATCTACAACTTTGTAAAACGAAAATTTTAGGTTATTACCCAAAACTATAGGTTACTGGTGAAAATTATGTCCAGCATCCCAAAAAATCAAAGTATTTATAGACAAAATCTGCTTTATTATGTATCTTCTTTTAGGCAATGGAGAACAGCTAAAGCATTATCAGAAACTTAATTGTAGATTTTTCAAATAAAAAATCTGATTCATATCAAGTGGTCTAAAAAATGAGCCTATTCTATTTCAATCCTCGTAGATCGCCAGAATTTTCAGTTCATTGCGTTTTGTTTCCATTCTATGAGTCTCTTAATTAATTGTCTTCGCTTACCCAAACGTTGGACTCCGAGCCGTATGCGGTGGCCAGGAGATTTCCACCCTCATCCAGAACTGATATCTTGGAACCTGTGCCACCACTAAACAAAAAAAAATACTTTAGATTGGTTAGTTGAAACGAAAGCCTAAGCTAAGTCTACAAAAATATACTCGCTGTTTTTTAACAAAAAAGCCTCTAAGAAATCCCTTGTTCATCAGATTAATTAATTAGATCAATTGTTTAGCGACAGGAATGACATATATGGACACTCAGGATCGGATCTAGGATTTTCTCGAGGGGGGGGGGCGGATTTTCAAAAAAAATTCGAAAAATTTTATCGACCTTTTTTTAGGTAGACCGAATTGATTTTTTGGGCTCTCCCTAAGCTCGGTTTAGTCCCTGTTTTGCCCAAATTTTCTGCGCCGCAGGCAAAATTTTCTGCGCGCGCTCCCCCCTCAAAATTATTATATATTGGCGCCAAAGGCGCCTTTAGAAAAATTTTAGGGTTGGTCGAAAAAAAATGGATTTCTTAAAAAGTACCAAAGGGTCGGCAGGGGGTCGAATCCCTAAATCCGCCCTACTTGTGGACACTCCGACTAGTGGACACTCTACTAGTCCGTTAAAGACCAGTTTTCATGCAAACTATTGACTAAGTAAATAATTTACCTTTGAAAGGACTGTTCTGATTTGATTTCACACCGAGTAACCTTAATTATTGCGTTGGTTTTTTGCTCCCCGCCCAGAGAAAAACCATCGAAATTGTGAATTGATGTTCTTTTCACCCTAGTCACCCAATTAAATTCAAATTTATTATCATTTGGACCCCTTCCCTTCAACGAGCCTCTGGTGTAGTTAAAAGCAACAACACGAAACATTTGACGCTTTTAACTATCGCTAAAGAGTGAAGTGCAGCTGGATTTTTTTTTGGTTTGAGATTTGGATTTGAATTATTTAGTGAGAAAATATACGTATACAGTATTTAACTCACAAGGATCGCGCTCGAGCCCTGAGGCTCATTGAGGCGGGACCCTGGACATCACGTATTTAATATCGTGGGCGTATTTGGAAACCACATGACGTATTCGATTCCCAGTCTCACACTCGTCAGGGCATTAATTTTTGGTGACTGAGACATGTCAAAAATCTACAAATTAGTTAAGTAAGTTCATCGATGTCACGACCCGGGCGGAGGTGTTCGACTCATGATTCGACCAAAATGGTAGAACTATGCCCGGCGTTCGACACAAATTAAGACGGCCGAGCGAAGGCTTTGGCCAAACAAGGTCGAGTCATGGACCGAACAGTGTTGAATCATGGGCAGAATGGAATAATGGGTAAAATTGAATTTTTGTCAGAACTTTCCGATTTAGAATAGCTCTCAGTTGTCGCATTTTGTCAGTTTTTCGTAGACGCAAGCCCCAAACCCCCCCCCCCCCCCCGCCTCCTAAAACAGCCCTATCGAAGAAAATGAATTAGTCTTTTTCTACTTACCCTTCAACACCTGCGTATAGCGTTTGCTTCTGCGCAGTCGCCATCTGATTGCTCTGACGGAATCTACAGATCAATGCGCAGCCCGGCAAGGTGAGGATTGGCTGTACTATATAAGGAGTAAGTAGATAGCAGCAGCAAACACACTCAAAAGTCACTAACACAACACAGTTCAGAGTTCAAAATCAACTCAGTGGCCTCTTAGGTTGAACTTCAAAGAGCGACAAAAATTGAATCTGAAATGAGAGCAGCAACACTCATTGTACGTATTTAACTACTAATGAAGACTGCAAACATAAAATAATCTTTGAAATGAACCAGAAAGTTCAAATTCCAGTGGTAACTTTTAACTAGTACATGAAAGTTCAAATTTTGAAATTTACCAGAAAGTACAAGGTTTCGAACCTCATCAGCAGTCAAAAATTTCAGGAATTAATTTAGTGCTATAGCTTAACAACTTGTTTCGCATCTATTTAACAGTTCCCCCTTCGAGAAAGGGAAAAGATTGTTAAGTAGACTAATTTAGACCAATAAGAATGAAGCAAAATTAGAACTCTTAATGAAAAGCTCTAATGCTAAATTATTGTTTTATTTAGAGAGGTGGAGATTACTTACTAGAGAGCAAAGGGTGGGAATTGTTAATTAGAACCTTTTCTTAAATCATTCATATTCCTTCATCTAATCAATTTTCAGCCTCATTAATGATGACTAAGGCGTTGATCGTAAATGGAAAATTAGCTAAATGGGCGAGATTGACTGTCTAAAAACAACGTTTAGTTAATAATCACCACCAGTAACTTTGTTCACTTTGAAAAGCGGAAAAATCCAATTGGGGGAGCAGTGATTTGCATGTGTTGGGCGCAGTGATTTGCATTTAGCATTCCTCTTTCATTTATTTTAATTTTGCCAAGTATTTCAAAAGCGGTATTGACATTTTTGATCAGGGAGCGGGAGAAAAAGTACATTTACAAGGCCAAACGGGATATTTAGTGAATTGTAAGAGGATTCCGCAACAGGTTGAAAACAGATTTGTCACGGAATCTGCAACATTGCTATTTTTCTTTGATCTTCTTTGCTGTTTTAGATTCCACTAACAAATAGCTAAAACACTGTATCGCTCAAAATCACTCCAAAAACAGGCGATTTAACGGAATTCGCAACAGAACTGCTGCAACCCGCATTAAAATTTGCGAAATCCGGAACAGTTTGTGAAATCCACCAACAAATAATAAAAAATGTGTAAAGTAAAATTAAGCTGTAAAATTGTAAGCGGAATCCGTAAAGTAAAATTAAAAGTAAAATTTTAAGCGGAATCCGTAAATTGTAAGCAAAATCCGCAAAATGTAGAAAGAGTCCGCAAATTGTAAATTGCATCCGCATACATTTGCGTAATCCGCTTACCTTTGCGGAATCCGGAACGAGTAGCTGATCGCTCGTTGCGGAATCCGCGACATTAGATAATGTGCCGACATAAATTACGGTACAGGTATGCGTGCTTGGACTTCACGAGAACTAAGTGACTATCACCTACACTTTGGAACATGTTTAGAGACTTGTCTCAAGATTCCAGTGACCTACAGACATCAAATTGTGCGCTTATCCAGTGCACAGTTTGGCCTAGTAATGTAAATTTTTGGTCGTTAAAAGATTTTTTTTTTAAAAAAAAGAAGCAGATACAGAAACCTTCAGTTTTCGTCTTATAACTATATCATTCAACACTTTCGCACATTTTATTTTTGTATTTGCAGACAGTCAGTTTTTGCTTCAAAATACTAAAGTTTTTTTCTACTTTACTGAAAGCTATCCGCGCAAGAACGTATTTGGCTGGATTCTTCATCACAAACTTCAGTTTATGGGCAAATTTCTGTCATAAAAATGCGTAAGTCAACCCTTTCAAACATTTCTCGATTGTATTTTCTGACAGTTACGCAGTTTTTGCTTAGAAACACTGAAGCTTTTTTTCGACATTAGATGTTTATGGTTTTTTATAAAGTAAAGATGACATTTTTTGGCCATCACGGAAACAAATTTTTTATACAGAATTGAAAAAACTATCGCCTAAATTTTGTTAAATTTTGTTTAAATTTTGTTGGGCTAATTAGGTGGCGCACTCAGATACAAATTTCTCATTAATGAGCAGGTAATTTTTGCGTAGAAATAATTGATCAAAAAGAAAAGATCAAATAAATAATCAAGACAATGTTCTGACTTGTGGGAACTCAAAGAGGAGATCTAGTTTCAGGTTTTTCTGCTGAACTATTTTTGACCAGCCTCGTGTAACCGCCGAAGAAGAGTGAACAACAATCAGATTTCCAGATATCTTAATTCGTAACTCGTTTAATTTCAACTGATAAAAATATACCAAAACAAAAAAAAATAAATCAACGAAAAAAAATTATGTAACTGTTCTATTGTTGCGATTGCTGGAGACTTGCAGAAAAATGAAATAAAATGACTTTCTACAAAATTTCTCCCAAATTTTTTCTATCCCCTTGAACTTGTCTTAACTTTAACTAATGGTATAATTTTGTTAGCATTTTTTACCGTTAATTTTCCCTAGTATTTTTTGGGTTAAAAAAAAACAGTCGACTTCATTTTCGCGCCGTGGTGAGACTTAGGCTCGCTATTTTCTGGCTAGAAATGTGAAGAGTTAACCCAAAACCACGTCCAATATATTGTGTATTCTATTACACATTTTGAAATACAGGAAAAATATTCAAACTTTCAGTAAAACAGCAATCTGAACTTACGCAAAAACTGATGAGACATTCGTTGAACCGCCAAAAAAGAACGAACAGCCAAAAAGAAAGAATGATTGCTAGATATCTCCATTTGTAAACCGATTGATTAATTTTAACTGAAAAAAGTAGGGAAACAAAAAACGGATTAACTCAAAGTGAAAAATTCAAAACTTATGTAGTTATTTTACTGCTGCAATCGCTAGAGACTTTGCGGAAACTAGAAGTATAATGATTTAATACAGCCACCCAAACAAAAATTCTATTAGCTTCAAACTTTCTTGGACAGATACAGAAATTTACAACCCGCGGCGAGATTTGAACACTCAATCTTCTGGTTAGGAACCAGACGCCTTATCCATTAGGCCACGCGGGCTGGAGCATCAGTTTCATTATAGTTAAGTTTTATTTTTCGCCATTCGGATTAAAGATTTTCAAAGAAGACGAGGCCTGAGTTTTAACAAGCTGATTTCCAACTGTACACTTAGTAGCGAGCTAATGGCAGGCCTCTGTATAATAAGATCAACACGTCTTATTTTAAAAAATTTCGAAAGAACTGATTAAAAAATGATCAAGACAAAAATCTGACTTGAGGGAACTCAAAGAGATCTAGTTTTAAAATTTTTTGCAGAATTTTTTGTTGACCAGCCTCGGTTAACCGCCGAAGAAGAATAAATAACAATCAGATTTCCAGATATCTTAATTTGTAACTCGTTTAATTTCAACTGATAAAAAGATACGAAAACAAAAAAAGTAATGACTCAAAAAAATTTCAAAGTTTATTTATCTTTTTTATTGTTGCGATTGCTAGAGACTTGTCGGAAATCGAAAGTCAAGAATTTTCTACGAAATTTTCTCAATTTTTTTCGATCCTCTTGAACTGGTCTGAACTTTAAAAAATGATTTAATTTTGATAGCACTTTTAACCGTTAATTTTTCCTAGGATTCTTTGGGTTAAAAAAGACTAGTCAACTTTATTTTCGCGCCGTGGTGAGATTTGGGCTCGCAAATTTCTGGCTAGAAAGGTGGAGAGTTAACCCAAAGCCACGTCGAATATACTCTGTACTCTATTAAACATTTTGAAATAAAGGAAAATTATTCAAACGTTCAGTAAAACAGCAATCTGAACTTACGCAAAAACTGATGAGACATTCGGTGAAACGCCAAAAAATAATGAACAGCCTTCAGATTGCTAGATATCTCATTTTGAAAACCGATTGATTAATTTCAACTGAAAATAGCTACGGAAGAAAAAAAATGGACTAAAACAAAGTCAAAAACTCAAAATTAAAGTATCTATTTTACTGCTGTAATTGCTGGAGATTTTGCGGAAACTTGAAGTAAAAAGATTTAATACAGCCACCCAAACGAAACTGCTATTAGCTTCAAACTTTTTCCGGACAGATACAGCGCTTTACTACCCGCGGCGAGATTCGAACTCGAAATCTTCTGGTTAGGAGCCAGACGCCTTATCCATTAGGCCACGCGGGCTGGACTCCGACACTTTCATTGCGGGCCACGCGGGCTGATTTCCAGATGTACACTTAGTAGCGAGCTAATGGCAGGCCTCTGTATAATAAGATCAACGAGTCACATTTTAAAAAATTGGAACGAACTGATTAAAAAATAATCAAGACAATAATCTGACATGCGGGAACTCAAAGAGACCTAGTTTTAAAATTTTTCGAAGAATTTTTTTTTGAGCAGCCTCGGGTAACCACCGAAGAAGAATAAATAACAATGAGATTTCCAGATATCTTAATTTGTAACTCGTTTAATTTCAACTGCTAAAAAGATACGAAAACAAAAAAAGGTAATTACTCAACAAAAAAATTCAAAGTTTATTTGACTTTTTTCTGTTGCGGTTGCTAAATACTTGCCAGAAAATGAAATACAATGATTTTCTACGAAAATGTCTCAAATTTTTTTTGTATCCTCTTGAACTGGTCTGAACTTTAACAAATGGCTTAATTTTGATAGCATTTTTTACCGTTAATTTTTCCTAGGATTCTTTGGGTTGAAAAAGACCAGTCAACTTTATTTTCGCGCCGTGGTGAGATTTGGGCTCGCAAATTTCTGGCTAGAAAGGTGGAGAGTTAACCCAAAGCCACGTCGAATATACTGTGTACTCTATTAAACATTTTGAAATAAAGGAAAATTATTCAAACTTTCAGTAAAACAGCAATCTGAACTTACGCAAAAACTGATGAGACATTCGTTGAAACGCCAAAAAAGAATGAACAGCCTTCAGATTGCTAGATATCTCATTTTGAAAACCGATTGATTAATTTCAACTGAAAATAACTACGGAAGAAAAAAAATGGACTAAAACAAAGTCAAAAACTCAAAATTAAAGTATCTATTTTACTGCTGTAATTGCTGGAGATTTTGCGGAAACTTGAAGTACAATGATTTAAGACAGCCACCCAAACGAAACTGCTTTTAGCTTCAAACTTTTTCCGGACAGATACAGCGCTTTACTACCCGCGGCGAGATTCGAACTCGAAATCTTCTGGTTAGGAGCCAGACGCCTTATCCA